TGAACCTTTGGTGCACACATGATTTCCTTCCAGAGTAGATCTTATTCCTTCCCATCTGGGATATTTGGGGCTCTATCTCATTAGGACCTGGAGGCAATGGGCGGTAGGCTGGTGTCCTGAGAAGAACTGGCATTTGTTTGGAAAACAACTTTTATGGGTGTATCACTGAAACACTTGTATGCTTTGTTGCTGTTCAGTCACACAGTCGTGCCTGATTCTTTGCAACCCCACGGACTGTAGCATGCCAGTCTTCCCTGTCCTGCACTGTCTCCAGGAATTTGCTCAAACTCAGGTCTATCGAGTCGGTGATGCCATCCAACCATCTCATCCTCTGTCGTCCCCTTCTTCTCCTGCCCCCAATATTTCCCAGCATCAGAGTCTTTTCTAATGAGTCAGCTCTTCCCATCAGGTGGCCAAAGTATTGGGGCTTTTAAGTTTGTATGTTTAGGAGGACTGGTTTTCTCAGAATGGGGTGAAGAGAGAAAGGAATTGCAGTGAATTTGGAAGATCAGTTATTAACTTTCTGCCTTTCTGCCTTTCCAGTAGTCATGTATGGATGTGAGAGTTGGACTATAAAGAAAGCTGACTATAAAGAATGGATGCTTTTGAACTGTGGTGTTGGAGAAGACTCTCGAGAGTCCCTTGGACTGCAAGGAGATCCAACCAGTTCATCCTAAAGGAGGTCAGACCTGGGTGTTCATTGGAAGGACTGATGTTGAAGCTGAAACTCTGATACTTTGGCTACCTGATGTGAAGAGCTGACTCATTGGAAAAGCACCTGATGCTGGGAAAGATTGAGGGCAGGAGAAGGGGACGACAGAGGATGAGATGGTTGGATGGCATCACTGACTCAATGGACATGAGTTTGGGCCTGGGATGCTGCGGTTCATGGGGTTGCAAAGAGTAGGACATGACTGAGCGACTGAACTGAACTGAACTTTCTGCCTTAATGTCCCCATCCTACCAGCCAGAGTCCCGCTTCACTTCCCTTAGGATAACATACCTGGAGGGGTCCGGCTTGTTCCTGTAACTCCACTCACACGGCAGTCAGACCCTGGCTGAGTCGGTGCTCAGTTCTACCTACCCTGTGACCAGGGGTCGGGGGACCCATTCAGAACTGCTTGGGGAGGGAGGGAATTCTGTTCCTGCATCAGTATTCTCAACTGTGTCCTTGTATCTGTGTCATGTTCACATCTGAATTCATGTTTTATTTTTCACTTTCTTTTTTCCCCGGAGCACTCTTTATGGCCACCAGGAGCATCAGGGACCCACCAGCTTCACCATCGTGGCTGCGTCCACAGCACGACAGACACTTGCTGTCCTAGAAACTTGCCCTCCCCTCCACACCTCGTTATGCTACCGAAAGCGACTGTTTAATCCTGGCCTGGGAGCTTGGCTGGGCAGTAAGTCCCAGGTACTCATTCCAATATTAACCTAAGTTCTGCAGTGAAGGTGTTTTATAACCATGTGAGGACCTTGAGAAGGGAGATTACCTGGGTTGTGTGTAATTGCAAAGTCCTTTTAACAGGGAGGCAGGACAGTCCAAGTAACTAGTAGGAGACGCAACAATGGAAGTAAGAGACTGGAGTGATGCCAAGAAGGGGCCCCGAGCCAAGGACTGCAGTGGCCTCTAGAAGCTAAAAAGGTTTATCTCTGCCTTTCATAAAGTAGCCTCCTGTCTTATCTTGTGGGCCACTTACTTAACTAGCCAGTTAATCAGTAGGATTGAAATAAAAAAAGGACCCAAACACCTAGTTTCATTGTAGTCGTTGTATTGTGTTTTGAACTTCTCATTAATTAATTGTCTTTTACAAAAATATTTTTAGTCCGTGACAGATTGGAAGACAGACAAAACAAAAACCCCCAAAAGCTAAACCTTATCTACAAGCGACACTTTCATGCAGTGCTCACATTTTCCCACAAGGTGTCGCCTTAGCGCCAGAATTGCCCTTAACGACTGGGGGCGTCCAGGGTCTGCCGGCTTCCCGCTGGGGTCCCAGCCAAAGGTTGAAACAGAAGCCCAGGCCTTACAGCACAGCAGACCGCTCCTGGATGGAGTTCCTTATTCTCAGCAGGCACGCAGAGGCACGGTTCCCATGAGGCGCGAGTGAAATTTCGGCGTGTCCCGGGTCACAGCTGTCACACCAGGAGCAGGCTGTTGGCCCCCAGACAGAAGTCTGGGCACACGTGTGGTCCTGCTTCTCTAACCTGCCTGCCTCAGAATCACCCGGGGGGCCTGTCGGCTCCACGGAGGCTCTGAGTGGGCACGTATGACACATTTCTGGGCCCAAGCTCCCGGAACCTGCATCCTATGACAAAGTGTCCTGGCTGAGGAGTGAGACCTCAATTCTGATCCAAGTTCTGCCTCTCTGATGACCGAGTAACCTGGTGCAGGAGACCTATTGTTGTTCAGTTGCTCAGTCCTGTCTGACCCTTGTGACCTCATGGACCACAGGGCGCCAGGCCTCCCTGTCCTTCACCATCTCCCCGAGTTCACTCACATTCATGTCCAATGAGTCGGTGATGCCATCCAACCATCTTGTCCTCTGTCGTCCCCTTCTCCTCCTGCCTTCAGTCTTTCCCAGCATCAGGTCTTTTCTAATGATCTGGCTCTTTGCATCAGGTGGCCAAAGTATAGGAACTTCAGCTTCAGCATCAGTCCTTCCAATGAATAGTCAGGGTTGATTTCCTTTAGGGTTGACTGGTTTGATCTCCTTGCTGTCCAAGGGATTCTCAAGAGTCTTCTCCAGCACCACAATTCAAAAACATCAATTCTTTGCTCAGCCTTCTTTATGGTCCAACTCTCACATCCATACATGGCTACTGGAAAAACCACGGCTTTGATGAGATGGACATTTGTCAGTAAAGTAATGTCTCTGCTTTTTAAAATGCTATCTAGCTTTGTCAGCTTTCCTTCCAAGGAGCAAGCATCTTTTAATTTCATGACTGCAGTTACCATCCTCAGTGATTTTGGAGCCCAAGAAAATAAAATCTGTCACTGTTTCCAGTTTTCCCCCTTCTTTGTGCCATGAAGTGATGGGGACTAGATGCCATGATTTTAGTTTTTTATATAATAATTATATATAAAATATTTTTGTATATGTTGTACAATAATATAATAATAGTAAACAATTAATAGCTGCTCAATACATTTTCTAAATACATGAATATGTGTGAATGTCCTCATCTGTACAGAATAAGTGTTAGTTGTTCAGTTGTGTCCAATTCTTTGCCACCCTATAGACTGTAGCCCGCCAGGCTCCTCTGTCCATGGATTCTCCAGGCAAGAAAACTGGAGTGTGTTGCCATTTCCTTCTCCAGGGGATCTTCCTAGAATTTAGATTTGATTATCTTGGAGGTCATTCTTGTCCTGATAACCTAACACAAAACATTTTAAGTCAGTTATTCTAACTCATTTCTTACATATTGAAAAAACTTACTAAAATTTTTTTCTTTTATTTCAGAAACAATAGTAAACATACAGAGAAGGCAGTGCACTGGCTCCAGAGTTGGGCCTGGCCTTGACCCCTGACTCCACCTTTACTGCCGCAAGGCTTTAGCCAAAGGCTGGGATCATGTTGATGTTATAGTACTGTTGTGTGGGGTAAACAACAGCAGTAATAATAGCAAAAACCACGGTCAGTGAGTTTTCAGCCTTTGCTGTAGGCAGGGCACAGCCACGTGCCATCAGCTACAGATGCACACGGTGGGCTCTCTGTGGTCACAGGTCCTGCATTTGAGAGTCAACCAACTGCAGGATCAAAAATATTCAGGAAAAAATAAATCCCAGAAAGTTTCAAAAAGCAAAACACAAATATGCTATACCGGCAGCCACTTCCATAGCCCTTACATTGTATTGGGTAAATTTTTTAAGTCTTTATTGGATTTGTTACAACATTATTTTCGTTTTCTGTTTGTTTTTTTGGGCTTGAGGCATGTGGGATCTTAGTTCCAGAGCAGGGATTGAACCCACACCCCCTGCATTGGAAGGCAAAGTCTTAACCACTGGACTAGCAGGCAAGTCTGTATATTAGGTATTATAAGTGATCGAGAGATGATGTAAAGAGTTCAGGAGGATGGACACAGGGACTTGTGCATCCATGAATCCTGGTAGTTGATGGGAGTGGGGGGTCCCTGGAACCAGTTCCCCCTGGATACTGAAGAATGGCTGTAGTGTATATTGTATAGTGTGGTGTGTATCCAGTGTGCATAGTATATCTAGATTGTATGATGGTGGTTTAGTTGCTAGGTTATGTCCGACTGCTGTGACCCCATGAACTGTAGCCTGCCAGGCTCTTTTCTCCATGGGATTCTCCAGGCAAGAATACTGGAGCGCATTGCCGTTTCATTCTCCAGGGGATCTTCCTGACACAGGGATTGAACCAGGGATCTCTTAAGGCTCCTGCCTTAGCAGGCAGGTTCTTTACCACTAGCGCCACCTGGGAAACCCATATATATTGTATGTGGGTGATAGTGCAGTGTTTATACTGTGTATACTGTATATATATAGCAGATTATCTGTGTTATATGCCACACTTACCTGATGAGCAAGGACCACGATGACACCATTTTACAGATGGAGTCACCGAGGCATTGACAATCTAGGGTTGCACAGCGGGGCGTGGTGACCAGGGGTTTCCAGTCCAGGCGGGTTAAAATAAGGCTCCAGAGGAGCGAGCACAGTGAGAGCCCAGGAGGGGAGCCCCGCGGAGGAGCGGCAGGGGCTGGCCCGGCAGACAGACTGAGAGCCGTCCCCTCAGGTCCCCTGACAGGGAAGACGGACCTCTACAGCGAGACAGCTACTTAATGATGGAAGGAAGAGATCACCCAGCGCAGCTAGGCCACCCCTAGAGAGTCATCTGGGCCGGTGCAGGGCCGGGAGGAGCTTTCACCGTTCGGGGAGGCCCCTCCGGTGGACAGGAAGGGGGCAAAGAGGGGCAGGGCGGCGGCAGAGCGGGGGCAGAGCGGGAGTGGAGCGGTGGTGGAAGCGGGAGGGGGTTTCAGGAGACCGGGGCCCTGTGGCCCGGCGGCCCTCTCGGGGTTGCTGAGAGCGCGCACCACCTGGCCGCGCTCTGCGGCTGATGAAGGCTCAGCGCGGCCTTAACAGCATCTTTGCGCTCCCGAGGCTCCTGCCCTCGGCTGGGTTGGACCGGCTGCAGCTTCAGGCCCCAGATCCGAGCGGACAGCGAACGCGTGTGTGTGGAGACGGCTGCCGGGACGCGCGGGCAGCCCCGGGCCGGGGACCCGAGCATCTGCTCCTCTTGCCGGGCTCCCCCCCCCCGCACCGCCGAGCCCCGCGGTTTGGATCCCAGCGTCGTTCGGCCGCGTTTGCCACCTGCTGAACCGTCTGAAAGTCAGGAGCTGTTGTCTGCGCAACCTCCCCCCTCTCACTCCGCACAGGCCACTTGGCTTCGTAGAGTCATTTTCCAAAATGTGGATACTGTCCTACCACTGCTCGTTCCATCTGCTGCTCACTCCCGGAGGCCTGGCTCCTTCGCCGGCCCGGGACTCAGGCGCGCGCCAGGAGAGGCCAGGGATGAGGCCGCGCGTTCTCCTTCTCCCGCCTCCCTGGACCATGTCTCCATCCATCCTGAAGGCGCCTCTCCTGGAATAATCTGGACCGTCTTCTCAGTAGCAGTGGTCTAGCATGACAGCCCTACTAGACACACACAGGGACGTGTTACCACACACACACACTGCAGTTAAAAATAAATCTTCCCTAGGTACATTTTCCTGAAACTTTGTATGTGAGAGCTTATTGGTGTGTATTTTTTTTTAAATACACTCCAATCTAAAATTGATGATAAAAATCAATCTCACTGAGGAGATGGAGAGTTAATTCATTCACAACATGAAGCATCAAGGTCAAGTGAGTGAAGACGACACAGGGGTGCAGGTTTGCTTTGGAATTCCGTAGAAGCATTGACAGGTGTACACTTGATCTTTCGAATTTGAGAACAATCAGCGAAGAGAAATGGAGTGCTTTTGAAACAGAAATATTTAACTCTAAGTTTTAAAAAATTGCAGCTTTGTATCCTGGTGTTAAAAAATATAATTCTTTTGAAGATATTCTTCATGTTTAATTGCCTGCAGATATACATTTTTTCCCCTTCAACAGTAATATTAATACGAGTTTTACAAAAATTATCCTAGGTTACCATCCTTGCTTCTTTGACTTAATAAAATTTTTGGAATGTTTTCATGTTGCATCAGGTGTCTAAGGAGTGTGTGCTGTTTGCCAATTGAAGTAGAAAAATTTAACAGAAGTAGCAAAGATCTCAATTAGCAGCTAGAAAGAGCTATCATTTATTTTATAGTCTTAGCAAGAACTCCTCCCAGTGGACGTTCTTAGAATTATTTGTTGCATTTTTAAAAAGAGATGAAAAGAAATGCTATGAAATCAATAAACAAATCATAACAACTGATATCTCTCATCAGTGGTGCAGAAAAATTTCTTTCTGCCTTTATAGAATACATGTAATAAACTTACAAAGTACATAAACAAGAATTTGTAATAAAAAAAACTAGATTCAATTTCTGATTATTATCTACCTTAAAGTGTGAAAGTGTTAGTCACTTAGTCATGTCCAACTCTTTTCAACCCCATGGACTGTAGCACGCCAGGCTCCTCTGTCCATGGGATTCTCCAGGCAAGAATACTGGAGTGGGTTGCCGTTCCCTTCTCCAGGGTATCATCCCAACTCAGGGATTTAACCATGGTCACCTGCACTGCAGGCAGATTCTTTACCATCTGAATCACCATTATCTACATTATCATGCTATTTATTTGGGAAATAAACATAACTGTAATTAGAAAACTATTCAGATGCATAGATGAATATGTTCGCATTTACTAGGTGTTCAGTTCAGTTCAGTTCAGTCACTCAGCTGTGTCTGACTCTTTGAGACTCCATGAACTACAGCACGCCAGGCCTCCCTGTCCATCACCAATTTGGGAGTCCACCCAAATCCATGCCCATTGTGTCGGTGATGCCATCCAGCCATCTCATCCTCTGTCATCCCCTTCTCCTCCTGCCCTCAATCTTTCCCAGCATAAGAGTCTTTTCAAATGAGTCAGCTTTCGCATCAGGTGGCTAAAGTATTGGAGTTTTAGCTTCAACATCAGTCCCGCCAATGAACACCCAGAACTGATCTCCTTTTGGATGGACTGGTTGGATCTCCTTGCAGTCCAAGGGACTCTCAGGAGTCTTCTCCAACACCACAGTTCAAAAGCATCAATTCTTTGCAGTCAACTTTTTTTATAGTCCAACTCTCACATCCATACATGACTACTGGAAAAACCATAGCCTTGACTAGATGGACCTTTGTTGGCAAAGTAATGTCTCTGCTTTTTAATATGCTGTCTAGGTTGGTCATAACTTTCCTTCCAAGGAGCACGTGTCCTTCAGTTTCATGGCTGCAGTCACCATTTGCAGTGATTTTGGAGCCCAGAAAAGTAAAGTCAGCCACTATTTCCACTGTTTCCCCATCTATTTTCCATGAAGTGATGGGACCAGATGCCATGATCTTAGTTTTCTGAAAGTTGAGCTCTAACCCAACTTTTTGACTCTCCTCTTTCATTTTCATCAAGAGGCTCTTTAGTTCCTCTTCACTTTCTGCCATGGGGTGATGTCATTTGCATATCTGAGGTTATTGATATTTCTCCTGGCAATCTTGATTCCAGCTTGTGCTTCCTCCAGCCCAGCATTTCTCATGATGTACTCTGCATTTAAGTTTAATAAGCAGGGTGACAATATACAGCCTTGACGTACTCCTTTTTCTATTTGGAACCAGTCTGTTGTTCCATGTCCAGTTCTAACTGTTGCTTCCTGACCTGCATACAGATTTCTCAAGAGGCAGGTCAGGTGGTCTGGTATTCCCATCTCTTGAAGAATTTTCCACAATTTATTGTGATCCACACAGTCAAAGACTTTGGCATAGTCGATAAAGCAGAAATAGATGTTTTTCTTTACTAGGTGTACTCTGGACATTTGTGAAATTGCTTGAAAAGGTGTTTTTGCCAGCTATCAAATAGGCTAAAATTAAATGCCAGATTTTTAAAAAAGAGTACATACCTGGTGACTGCTAATTTTTCCTTACTGCTCACTTCCTTACTGCTAGGCAACAGGAAGCAACAACTTTTCAAAAATGATTTGTGTCCAATTTAATACATGAGCAATAAGCCAAAACTTATGATTTAAAATATCTTTTATAAAAAGATTATTGCTTTCATGAAGTTGTTGCTTTCTGGTGCCTAGCAGTGAGTAAGTATGCAGGGTGTACACTTTTGACTAAGTAAAAATTAGCAGTCACCAGGTATCATATGGGATGGGCTTCCCTGGTGGCTCAGATGGTAAAGAATCTGCCTGCAGTGCAGGAGACCAGAGTTCGATCCCTGGTTTGGGAAGATCCCCTGGAGAGGGAAATGGCAACTCACTTCAGTACTCTTGCCTAGAGAATCCCGTGGACAGCCTGGTGGACTACAGTCTTGGAGACATGAAGAGTTGGACATAACTAAGCCATTAACACTTTACATATGGGATAACTTCTAGTATGTTTACTCGGAAAGCAAGAAAAGAATTTAGCAGAAGACAATGTAATTATAGTTACACAACTGTAGACACAAGACACTATTAAACTCTACTTGTCAGGTCCTGTTTAGCTTCTTCCTAGAACTCTGATGTATATTTTTTCCAGAATCCTATTTACTAAATATACATGTGATGTAACATTCAAAACAGGATTGTGGGTACTTGACTGTAAGATTTACTTTTACTGTATTTACTACAACATGGCTGCATTAACTTCTTTTTTCTCTTTTTCCCCCCTTTTTTCTTGAAATACAGTTGCTTTACAACGTTGTGCTAATTTCTCCTATATGGCAAAGGGATTCAAGTATACACATACGTACGATTTTTGCATTCTTTTCCATTATGGTTTATGACAGGATAGTGAATATATACTTCCCTGTGCTCCACTGTAGGACCTCGTTGTTTATCCTTCTCTGTAATAGCTTACATCTGCTAATCCCAACCTCCCACTCCATCCCTCTCCCATCCTCCTCCCCCTGGCTTGTTATTTCTTTCTTTTCATATCTGCAAAATGATTCTTGAGCAGGGAGACACAACCTTAAATGTGAGTATGAGCTGAATAACCACAGATCTTATCAAAGCATTTACTTAATAAATAGCAAAATGAGACATTAAAAAAAAAGCCACATCCCTCCAGCTCACTAGAACGGAAAAGACCTTTCATTGGAGCACCATGCTTCCTTGCCATTCCTTTTCAACACAGATTAGTCACCGTCCCTAAAGTGACCCCAGACGTACAGGTACCAGAAGCTGGAGGACGTGGCATTCTTATTGGTCATCCAAAGGGTGCAAATGGCTTTCTGAAATAAAGCCTTTTGTGGTTACTGCACCTCAATTCCACAATCCAATGAACTCATTGTCATGCTTTTTTTTTATTACTAACTCCAACTCCTCTTTAATCACGAGACACATTATGTATGTGGAACATACTGGAGGCACATACTCGGCATTACAGTTCTGAAGCTTGTTGGCTGAGGACAGCTTTCAAAGAATGCAGTCCTTTACCCACAACAAATTCATGATTTAACAGGTGCAGATGGAGTGCTAAACGTAAACTAAACAAACAGCATAAAACATTACACCATCCACGGTGGTCTTTCTATCCCACTCCTGGCTTACTCAGATGGCTCTGCTTTACAGAAGAAACAGGGGTTCCCCTAGTGGTCCAGTGGTTAAGACTCTGCCCTTCCAGTGCAGGGGTCTCAGGTTCCATCCCTGGTTTGGGAACTAAGTCCCACATGTTGTGTGGTGCTGCAAAAACTTATAAATATATACATTTATATAAATAAAACAGTAAATAAAGAAGAAACATCTGTTCCACCCAGGCAGGAGAACCCTGAGAACACTGGGGGCTGGTGGTCCAGGGGACCCTGCCCTACAAATGTGGGTTCCAGCAGGACAAGGTGATTGTGGGTTTGGTTCATTTATGACGCATTTTACTCTTTGTACGTCGTCTACCATCCCCCATGGCATCGCGTGTGGTCTGACTCCCAAGTCAGAGGTCCTGAGCGCCCTCAGACCCCACTGCTCTCCATCACAAGTTGGGGGCCTCGTCTAAGCATAGGATGTTGGGCCCCCCCAGAGGGCTTGGTGGAGCCCGGAAAGATGCATTTCTAACAGTTTCCCAGGAGACGCAGGTGCTACTGGACCGCAGCCTTCGGAGGAGCACTGTCATATTAATAACTGAATCTTGCAACATCACGCCCAAGACAAACCCCACTTCATCCACCTAGATCTCATTTCC